GGACACGGCAGGTGGAGACAGCAGGTGGAGACACTGCAGACAGGGTGGGTGCTGGAGGGCTCGCCGGAATAGCTGCATTCAGTGTCCCGTGGGAGACGGGCTTTGACACAGGTCTGGAGGCGGGATGGGGGGACGGGTGTGAGGGCTGTGGGGCAGGGAGTCGGGGACACATGTTGGAGAGCCCTCGGGAGAAGCTGTGAGGAACAGCGTGCTCTCTTCAGAACATGCTTTCTCATTTTGTGCCGTGTGGAGAGGTTGGGAATTTTCTGAATCTTTCAATTCTTCCTTTTTGCTTATCGGTCCCTCAGAGTGTCTCTTCTCCCCCCTCACCAGAAGCAGTAAGAAGAAACCAGCCTGCACTGTCTACACTTTGCTTAGAACTCTCTTCAGCTTAATAGTCAAGTGTGTCTGTTTTAACCGATATTTTAACGTAAAACTGTTGTAGACCACGGGACCAGCAGATGGTGTAATGGCTACATTGCTGGACTCTCATGTAGTCAACTGAGGTTCGAGTCCCGGACCCGGTGGCTTAAACTCAAGCCAGGCGCGTGTGCGTACGTGCCCAAGATCCCGAGAGGAGAATGGAGGAGAAGGGATTGCAGCGTGGCCATTCCCCCTGGGGGGTGATTTCTCACTTTCTGTCTCTCTGTCTCTCTCTGTCTTTCTGGTGAGCACATGCACCCTACAGCAAAAACCTCTCCCCTCCACAGGAAAAAAAAAAAAGAAAAGAAAAGAAAAACTGTTGTAGACCATAATTCAGCCAAATTCTTTGCCACTTTATAATAAAGATCACTCTCCCTCCAGTTTCCAAATTTTCCCTCTTTTCCATCTGACACTTTGCCAAAATCATCTTTAATGTCTACATTACTACCAACAATCTCTTTAGGTCAATCTGGGCTTTTTTCTTTCTTTTTTATTTTTTTTGAAACTTAGAAATTTTATGCAAATTACTAATCCTAACTTTGAAACAACTGGGGAGTGGGTATAAGATATTTTATCTTTGTTTTCTTTCTTTTTAGTTTTGCTATAGGGTGCATATACTCACCAGAGAAACAGAGAGAGAGAGCTGAGAGGGAAAGGGAGAGCTCATCCCCTGGGGTGAGAAGGGGTGGCCACACTGCAATCCCTTCTCCCCCTCCTCCTCCATTCTCCTCTTGAAATTTTGGGCCCACAAACACGAGCCTGGTGTGAGTCTCAAGCTGCTAGGCCCAGGACTGCAGCCCACCATGTGGTTAGGTCCAGCACTTCACCACCATGCCACCTGCTGCCCCCATGCAGGTCTCTTTGTGACTTCAGCGTTCTCAGGAGATAGACCTGCAGGTTCCCCTCTGACATCCACGTGGCCCCCCCCTCCCCCCCCCTTCCCCGTGGTGCCTGGCATGTGGCAGGTGCCCTAGGGGCCTCAAATGCAGATGGGAAGGTGACCAGTGCTAGCAGGAACAGCCACCACCACAGGCAGTGCAGGGGAGGAGACGGAGCCTGGGGCAATGGCCTGCTTAAAGCCCCAGAGCTAGTGAGGGGCAGAGCCAGGACCCGAGCTCCTAACCAGGCTGTCCCTGCTGTGCCTCAGCCTGGCTGCCCGGGTTCGTGCACTGTTGACAGTGGCTGAATGCAGGACCCATGTTCTCTAAGTCCCCCAGCCCCGAGAGGCTGAGTTCACGGCCCAGGCTCCCTCTCTGCCCCCCTAGCTTACCCAACCCCAGGCGCTGGCGAAGAGTGAAAAGCTGTGTGGGAACCACGGAGCTGGCGTGTCCTCTGATGTGCCTGGAGAAGCAGGACCTCTACAACAAGTTCAAGGGGCGCGTGAAGGCCGCGGCTCCCGGCGCCAGGTCGCCCTGGGTGGAGTCTGAGTACCTGGAGTACCTGTTTGAAGGTAGGTATGGTGAAGGGCTGAGTGGGGGCACCGTCCAGCAGGTGGCAGTGCTGTCCTGGCCGTCGAGCGCCCGTGCAGAGGGCGGCTCTGACAGAGCTGCGGCCCCAGCCCTAGAGCCAGGTCGGGCGAGAAGGCGTGAGGAGGCGGTAGCCGCGTGCGGCCACGTCGGTGGTCCGACTTGGCGTTGGGAGTTGAGTTCCTGCCAGGGTGGGCAGTCCGGCACATGCCGCCCGCACTCGGTGTGTGCCGGCTCCTGAGGCTCTCCGCCTTGGTCATGGACTAAGTAAGCTAAATAAGCACCACATTCAACACCTACTCTTATTTATTTTCTAATGATCACGTGTTGCTTCTTTTGTTTTGTTTTTGCCACAGGACGTGCGCTCAGCAGAGAGACAGTGAGAGGAGTATGGCCATGCCACAGTCCAGTCTCCCCCTAGGATTTTGGGCACACACACATGCCTCCGGTATGATTTCCAAGCCGCCAGGTCCAGGACTCGAACCATGGTTGGCCATGTGGGCATCCAGACACCTTAACCTGCTGGCCCCTTTATTATTTATTTTTAATTTGATAGAGAGTGTGCACTTCCCAGAGAAAGATAGAGAGGAAGTGAGAAAGCATCCCCCATGGAGCATGGTCACACCACAGTCCCTTCTCCTCCATCTCTCTCTCCCCTTTGGGGGTTTTCGGAATACATGTACACGCCCCTGACGTGTTTTTTCAAGCCACCAGGACTGGGAGTCAGACTACATACTTGGCCATAGGGGATCCAGCCTCCTTAACTACCAGGCCTCCGGCTGGTCATACTTATTCCTATTTTTATAATGTTTAACTCCTTTCTTTAAGAAGCAGGGTGTGGGCCAGCCCATGGCCTAGTGGTTAAGAGAGCTAGATCCCACATGGCCAACTGTGGTTCAAATCCCAGCCCCAGAGGCTTGAAAATATGCTGGGCACATGCTTATGTGTGCCCTAAATCCCAACAGGGTAGAGAAATGGAGGAATTTCAGTGCGACCACACCCCACTATGCAGCATGCTCTCTCTTGCTCTCTCTCTCTCTCTCTTTCTCTCTCTCTCTTTCTCTCTGGTGTAAACACCTCTCTGGCTATTTAAAAAGAAAAAGAAACGATGAAAAAATGTTGGTTGCAAAATATTTTCTATCGGGCCAGCTCCATGGTACAGCAGGGACATGCTGCTCAAGGGAAGCCAGATCCCACAGGTTGACTGTGATTCAGGTCCCACCTGGTCAGCCTGGAGCACACCGGGTATGCGGGCAAGTGGAGGCCTGGGGTAGGGGACTGTCTCACCATCATGTTGCACATACACAGTCTGTCATGAATAAAGACAACAGGACTTACAAACAAAAACCACAAAAAGTGTTTTCTATATAATGTAGAAATTTCGAGGACAAAAAGATTAAAATAGAGGGAAAAAATACCACAAGAAATAACATTGGATGAAAAGGACTTATTTTTCTTTGTCTTCTTTTTCTTCTTTCTTTCTTTTTTTTTTTTTTTTTTTTTTTTTTTTGGTGGTCCGACTTGGCGTTGGGAGTTGAGTTCCTGCCAGGGTGGGCAGTCCGGCACATGCCGCCCGCACTCGGTGTGTGCCGGCTCCTGAGGCTCTCCGCCTTGGTCATGGACTAAGTAAGCTAAATAAGCACCACATTCAACACCTACTCTTATTTATTTTCTAATGATCACGTGTTGCTTCTTTTGTTTTGTTTTTGCCACAGGACGTGCGCTCAGCAGAGAGACAGTGAGAGGAGTATGGCCATGCCACAGTCCAGTCTCCCCCTAGGATTTTGGGCACACACACATGCCTCCGGTATGATTTCCAAGCCGCCAGGTCCAGGACTCGAACCATGGTTGGCCATGTGGGCATCCAGACACCTTAACCTGCTGGCCCCTTTATTATTTATTTTTAATTTGATAGAGAGTGTGCACTTCCCAGAGAAAGATAGAGAGGAAGTGAGAAAGCATCCCCCATGGAGCATGGTCACACCACAGTCCCTTCTCCTCCATCTCTCTCTCCCCTTTGGGGGTTTTCGGAATACATGTACACGCCCCTGACGTGTTTTTTCAAGCCACCAGGACTGGGAGTCAGACTACATACTTGGCCATAGGGGATCCAGCCTCCTTAACTACCAGGCCTCCGGCTGGTCATACTTATTCCTATTTTTATAATGTTTAACTCCTTTCTTTAAGAAGCAGGGTGTGGGCCAGCCCATGGCCTAGTGGTTAAGAGAGCTAGATCCCACATGGCCAACTGTGGTTCAAATCCCAGCCCCAGAGGCTTGAAAATATGCTGGGCACATGCTTATGTGTGCCCTAAATCCCAACAGGGTAGAGAAATGGAGGAATTTCAGTGCGACCACACCCCACTATGCAGCATGCTCTCTCTTGCTCTCTCTCTCTCTCTCTTTCTCTCTCTCTCTTTCTCTCTGGTGTAAACACCTCTCTGGCTATTTAAAAAGAAAAAGAAACGATGAAAAAATGTTGGTTGCAAAATATTTTCTATCGGGCCAGCTCCATGGTACAGCAGGGACATGCTGCTCAAGGGAAGCCAGATCCCACAGGTTGACTGTGATTCAGGTCCCACCTGGTCAGCCTGGAGCACACCGGGTATGCGGGCAAGTGGAGGCCTGGGGTAGGGGACTGTCTCACCATCATGTTGCACATACACAGTCTGTCATGAATAAAGACAACAGGACTTACAAACAAAAACCACAAAAAGTGTTTTCTATATAATGTAGAAATTTCGAGGACAAAAAGATTAAAATAGAGGGAAAAAATACCACAAGAAATAACATTGGATGAAAAGGACTTATTTTTCTTTGTCTTCTTTTTCTTCTTTCTTTCTTTTTTTTTTAAACAAATTGAAGGTTTGTGGCAACCCCTGCATTGAGACTCTTTGGAGAGAGGAAGAGACAGAGACAGTAAGAGGGAAAGGGAGAAACCACCCCCTGGGGGATGGCTATGCCATAATCCCTTCTCCTTCATTCTCCTTCCAGGATCTTGGGCACGCACACACGCCCAGTGGGACTTTCAAGCCACTGGGTCCAGGACTTGAACCACAGTCAGCCATGTGGGGGTCCAGTGATGTAACCGCTATGCCATCTGCTGCCCCCCCACATTTTTCAATATCTTTTATTTCTAATCCCCATAGCAAACTTATGAGGTTCGTAATTTTTAAAGAATAACTTATCTAATTTTGTTATTATTTTTTTCATTTGACCAGAGAGAGAGACACACACAGAGAGAGAGGGAAAGTGAGAAAGCAAGCCACCAGGTCTGGGAAAATATTTATATAAATATTTATATAAAGAATAAAGTTATATATATATGTATATATACATATACACACACACACAATCATTGTATATCATGTGGCATGCAAAATGAATTTTCCCAGCATGAGTACACTGCATATTAGTCCAGTTAAAAACATTATCATACATGTTATCATCAACAGATAATTTTCTGGGACCAGCAGTTGGCATAATGGCTATGTCGCTGGACTCCCATGTAGTCGATCGCAGTTTGAGTCCCGGACTCGGTGGCTTAAACTCACACCGGTGCATAAGTATGCATGCCCAAGATCCCGAGAGGAGAATGGAGGAGAAGGGATTGCAGCATGGCTATTCCCCTGGTGAGTGGTTTCTCGCTTCCTGTCTGTCTCTCTCTGTCTTTCTGGCGAATGCATGTGCCCTATAGCAAAAACCTCTCCAAAAAAAAAGGAACTTTATACCCACAGAGACACTACCAGCTTAGACCCAAAGGGACAGAGAGTGTAGGAGCAAAGATGGCCGTCGGACTCCCTGGTGGCTCCTGGCCAGACGCAGGCTGACAAGACTGCACAGCTGCGAATTCCTACTATCTTAGTGGACAAGGAAGGATGAGGCAGAGGGAGCTGGGAGCTCCGGGGGCAGTGTGCCCTCGTCTTGAAACCTAATACAGTTTGCTGGGCTGGATTTTGAAGCTAATTTGGACCAGTGACTCGGTTTACTTCAGTTTCCCCGTTTGAACCAGTGTCTGTACCTATTACCCTGTGCCCGTCCAGCGTGCTGTGATGAGCAGGTGGCCCACAGGTAGAGAGGAGCGGTGGGCAGAGTCACACTGATCGGATCCCACCCAGAGCCTCTCCCGAATCTGATTTAGACACTCCGTTGATGACATTTTTAAATTTGAGCTGAGGCTGTAATGGGATGACACCTTGGGGGACCTGGGGATAAGGTGAATTTATTTTGCATTTTCAAGGACTAGACTGTGGGGGTCCAGAGAGAGCACACGGTGGGCAGAGGGGCCCTCCAGACATTCTTCCTCAATCCTAGAACCTGCGAATGTGCAAGTGTTGGTCCTGTAGCTCAGGTTTCCTACCTGAAATACTGAGATCCTGCACTGTCAGACAGGCCCAGCCAAATCCTAACCAGAGAATGCCCTCCTGGCAGAAGGCCATGTTAGGGGGACTGACAGTGGGGAGGGCCGGGTGGTGTTGCTCTGGGTTGAAGATGGAGGAGCCATTTAAGGAGAAATGGGGGTGCCTTCCAGAGCTGAGGGAGGCTCCGCTAACCCCAGCTGAGCTTGGAGTGTGTGCCCCCCAGCGGTTCAATCATGAGACCCAGATCAGGGGAACTATTGAGCCCATCTGGACTTCTTTTTTTTTTTTTTTTTTTGGAGAGGTTTTTGCTATAGGGTGTGTGTGCTCACCAGAAAGACAGAGACAGAGAGACAGAAAGCAAGAAATGACCCCTTAGTGGGGATGGCCACACCGCAATCCCTTCTCTCCCATTCTCCTCTCGGGATCTTGGGCACGCACAGGCACCTGGCGTGAGTTTAGGCCACCGGGTCCGGGACTCGAACTGCAATCAACTACATGGGAGTCCAGTGACACAGCCATTACGCCAACTGCTAGTCCCCAACTTGGACTTCTGACCTGTTGGGCCAGTGACGTGGGGAGGGCTCCCTGGTAGAGGGACAGCAAGGCAGGGCAGCTTTGTGCTTACCCAGCCAGCCCCTGCTCCCGTCTAAGCCTCAGTCTCCCCTTCTGTAAGATGGGCTGAGCGATGGGGACAGCATGACCCCAGAGGGTACTGAAGGGTCCTGCTGTTTCTGACAGTGGAGCCAGCCCCGCCCAACCTGGAGGTCACCCGGGCAGAAGAGGTCCTAAGTGTCAGCGCCTCATACCAGCTGCCTTCTTGTGCGCCCCCGCTGGACCTGAGCTTCCAGGTGGAGTTCTGGAAGGAGGGGACCAGAAACAAGGTGAGAGCCCCTTCCTCCCCTTGGGCCAGGCCCCTTCTCCCACCCCACTCAAGCCCCTGCTCCTCACTCTCCCAGCCTGCTCCCTGCATGCCTCCTCCAGGAAGCCTTCCCCATATACCTCTGGTTCTGATTGGCCCTCGTACCCTCCCCCCTTCTCTGCAAAAGAGACCAAGTACAGGGCACCCTGCCTGCCTGGCACGGGGGCCAACACAGCAGTTTCCTCCCAGGTGTTTTTTCTTGAATTATGAACCTCTCCTTTATTCTTTCCCAATAAAATCTGACTGAAGTGGGGCCAGCAGGTGGCATGGTGGTTAAGGTGCTGGACTCCCACATGGCTGACTGTGGTTTGAGTCCTGGACCTGAGGACTTGCTTTCCCACTTTTCCTCTCCCTCTCTCTCTGTCTCTCTCAGGTGAGCATACGTGCCCTGTAGGAATTTTTAAAGTAATAATAATGATAAATAAAATAAATCATTCTTTTAAAAAATCTAATTGGTATGATGGGCTACAGGAGGCCTCCTTACCAAGTCAGCAGATTCATTACAGAAAATAAGAAAAGAGGGACTAGCAGTTAGCGTAATGACTATGTCACTGGACTCCCATGTAGTCGACAATGGTTCGAGTCCCAGACCCAGTCGGTGGCTTAAACTCACACCGGGCGCGTGTGCGTGCGTGCCCAAGATCCCGAGAGGAGAATGGAGGAGAAGGGATTGCGGCATGGCCATCCCCCGGGGGGGGG